TCAATCAATAGTTGGACATGAACGCGTGTTGCTGCTAAAATTCTGCCAGTTTTGCCGCCAAACGATCTTTAGCCACGTCGGGCCACGTAAAATGGATTATTGATTTTCTATCGCACCATTCTAAAATTGATAACGTAACTCTAAGGGCCTGTCCCACCACAGGCTGATAGAGAGTCAGATAGCAAATGACGTCACTGTCAGATAAGGTAACAAAATCTGATATTTCCATCACAAATTTTAAACGTTGGATTATTATCAGACAATTTACAATTTGGTGGGACAGGCCCTTAATATTGTAACCCAAAAGTATACTTACAGATTTATATTTTCTTACAATTTGGATTGCCTTCGTAACTTCTTCACTCGTAGAAGATTTTAATTGAAACGGCACACAATTAATGATGTAGCAAATCACGTAATTAGTGTTGGATTAGAATTTCTAACATTCAAATGCAAATGCAAGGAAAGTGACATTACCAGTCCATAGTATCAGATATAAGTTATTCAAAAACTAACTTTATAGTATTTTTGGGTATAAAATCCACAAAGCGAAATCGGCGCGAGGTGGGACATCGCAAAATATCGCCGCTTAAATTCCGACGCCCAAGGCGGCTTGCCTCGTAAACCTTTGATAATGGCTTTCATATTTCAATACATAACAATGACGTCATCAATAACGTTTAGTTTAAAATATTTTTTAACAATAAAACTAAATGATCTCTTATTTAATATACAAACAAGTACGTATATGTTATTAACAGAGTGATTAATTTTATATCACGTCAACATCTACCGTAATAATGAACGCAATGTTAGCCTAATTTTCTAGCCTTTGAGTTAAATTAATTTATTAAAGGACCAAACATCTAGCTAACGAGGTCAAAGCGTGTAGAAATTAAGCATGACTTTTCTAAACAGTAATTCACAATTACAAAATACTTTTCTGAATTGTTTTTTAAAAGAAAATAATGTAATGTAAAAAAGTTAATAAAAAGCTGCTCGCCCCCTTTTAATTTTTCAAATAGAACGTAAAGATCTTGTAGTGAGAACTCTAAGTTGAATTCGCTTCCAATCAAATGAAACGTACCTCAACTCGGGCGGTAACATTTCGTACTTTCACGACAACTTGAGTTGTCGCGTTCGAGGTAAAAGTGGCTTTGTGAGAAAATAAAATCCAACACAACTTACTCGTCTCTAGTTTAATATCACTAAAGGTTTTGTTTTATTTTGTAGAAAAGCTAAGTTAGATACAGCTAGATTCTATTTAACCATAGTCGGTTTACTATTACGGTGTAATATCAATTAAAATATTACATACTCAGGTAACCAATGTTTAGTTTTATCCCAACTCAGAAGCGAAAGTTTATAAGCGAAAAACCTGACGTTATATTTCAACAGAATTGTTGTGATTTTGATGAAAATAAAATTGCAACATGTTCACATTTCTGGGTATTTCACTTCATATTTGAGTTATCGCAAATAAAACGAAATTCTTATAGTAGATGGATGTTTGTTAGAGTTTGTAGCCTAAACGACTGAATGGATCTGGATGAAATTTGGGATAGATCTAGAGCATAATCTGGAAGAACACAAAGGATACTTTACTTTTTTAACGCAACGCGGACAGAGTCGCTGGCGAAAGCTAGAACATAATTTTAATCAACATTAAGGGTGAGTTGCATCAAATCGCCGGTTATCGTAAAAGTTATAATAGGGTTACAAGTGCAAAAACATATTCTCACAGAGGTTTTATGTGTTTTTCGTTTTTACAATGGAAACATTTAAACCTGAATGTCAATAAAGTGACAAGTTGGTGTCAAGAATGACATTTACGTAAATTAAAATGTTTGGAAATTCATGTTTCGTCGTATATATTTATGTATCATACGCATGGTATTTTATAGTGACATAAACTTTTTGCCCACGGAGATGGAGAAAATGGCAAACTCTTGTGAAAATAAACTAGTTTGGGCCATTATTGAAACTGTATTTACTTTACTACTTAAATATGTAGCAAAAATGAAGCAATAAAATTATACAAATATAAATGCATCTTATTTATTTTCCATATTATGAATTGTCCTCTCAATGCATGTTGTAAATTGTCCTTTTATGGAGGACATTTTTTTAAATAAGAGAAAAGGGACAAGCGCTGTTGCTATGGCCTTAGACACTCGAAATTTGTCCAAACTGAATGTTTGGCCAAATTTCGAGTTCCATCTTGGAAATCCATTATTTCCGAGCACGCAAGACTTTATTCTTCTGGATTACATATAGGATAATAGTAGAGATTTTCTTTTTCCATTACTTTTTCCATTATTTGTACTTTTGAAGATAAGAGCTTGTGACAGTTGACACTACCGAACTGACACTAACCGTAACGCTAACTATAACCGCCCAAAATCGGGCGGTTATGATTAGTGTCAAATATGACGTCATTTTGACCATCGCAAAACTGGTGTAGCGAATATCATGAACATCCATAGACGTAACCATCGGGAATGTGCTGGTTAAGGTTTATAGTTAGTTAATGTAACTCACCCTTAGTAAATTTTAAGGTTATTCCAAATATTACCGTTACAAATAATTTTAACTTTAACGGTAACCGGCGATATGGTGCAACTCACCCTAAGTAATCACATTTCAAATGAAAATATTCTCCGAAAACTTGATTCCTTTGTTTCAATAAATTATAATACTGCCATTGTATATTACCTGAAAATAGTACAAACGAGTAGGTATACTAGTACGTGGAAATCATTGTTATACCGTCCATGCTATTGTGCTGAAAATGAGAAATGAAAGCTGTATTTAGAAATACTGTATGAATGCCGATTTACTTCCTTCGGTATTGTAAAATATAACAAAAAAACAACACATATTCCGGATTCTCTTTTTTGCTCTAAAAAAATCTATTCTCTCAATTGTGTTTCGATATTGTAAACGGATACCCGTAATCATACGAAGGATTTACTTGTATTTAACCAAAGTAACTAATATTCAACATATCAGAATGTAAAAATTATTTTAACAATTGTAATAAGAAAGATTAAATTAAATTGTGATTAAAACAGGTTTTAACATAAAATTCGCTTTAAAATTTATTAACATCTCAATTCGTTCCCAAAATTATACTCAAAGGGTCTGTAAAGCCGAAAGGGAAGATTTCTTTTTATACCCTGTCATAACACTTAACCGATATTAAGGGTCAAAGTCTTTTTAATCAAGACCCCAGCTTATAATTTTTGAATTTTAAGATTCTCGCACAGTATTGATTATTTGCCGTACTTTAGTCTATGAAAACATTTTTTAAATTTGTCATTGTCTCGCTCTTAAGAGTGCGGAAATTAGATACTTTTTAAGTACACTAGTGTATTGGCGATAGTCGTGGTTGTCTAGAGCGCTACGTCATGTGTCAGTCGTGACAGCTGTCACTACAGCGTGCGGAGCGGTTATGTTGTGCGCTTGTATTTGTGTTATGTTGTCGGTAAGTCATGTAATACTCCAAAGAATTTGAGCATAAAACATAATCAAATGATTTGTTATTAAAACATTTGTGCACTTAACTACATGTTTTTTAAATGTCACCTTCGTATACTCTTAAAAAGGAATACAAAGTTTTCGTTTCACGTACAAATAAAGTCATGATAACTCCTTTTAATAATTACAGTCTTTAAAGTTCTAAGAGTGTTATTGAAAATTCAACCATTTCCACGTACAAAATTACATTAGTTAAAAGGGTTTAAAACGTGGATCTATTCGGAAAATAATAGTTTAGTATTTTTAAACATGAATAGTAGAGATTGGCAATATTTTTAGTTGAAAATTATTCAGTCCCACGTTTTGTACACTGATACTTTTTGTGTACGCAGTGTTTTGTTTTTAAGTTACGGCATCAAATAGAAATATAGTTCATGCTCACACTATATTCAACCTCACAACGGTTTAACTAATGATGACTGGGCATCAAGAAAAATATCCAATGTCGAATAGACGATAATAATTCTTTTAATCTACTGAACCAATTTGCCGAATTTAAACTTTCAATGCTGTTATTTTTCACTTTTGATTTAGATAGTCGTAAACATTTTTTAATCTCTAAGTCAAATGTAGATGCCAGAATAGTCGTATCAGCATTCCCAACAGTGAATCTTCGTTTGCTTAAGCTTCTTGGGTCGATAAGTCCATTGGAATATTGCCATGATCCAATTCCAAAGGCATAAAGTTAGCGTAAAGTAAAATAAAGGTACAATCGGAAACAGTTTGCGTGGCAGTTTTATTTAGATAGCGTTAAATGTGGCTGGTATTTGTACTACTTAATTAAAATTACCACTAACTGTTAAGTAAATGAATTTTTTAATTTGTTCGGTTGTTGATAGTAGTGAATTTTAATGTAATTATCATAAAAGATTTTTTTTTATAAACGCATTTTCACTGTTCAGTTAAAACCATACCTTTGTTCTATCAATATTTTATGGTTCAAAACCAAGCAATTTTTTACTATGTTAATGTTTCAAGGTTGAACTTTTCCTAGCTTTAAATTTTACTATAGACAGGCTTATAGGCTCTTTGAAAAAAGCAATTTTATTAAGCCGGCTTGCGACTCTGACGTAACGAATTGGGAATTAATCGGTTGTTTTGTTGTTTTATAACTTCAAACATGATAAGTACCTCAAGTTATAAAATTAACGCTTTTAACTGATTACATGAGCAAAAAGTTAACGTATTAGCGTTATTAACGTCTAAAATGTAAATAATTCATGTAGTTATGAAGCGCAAATTGTCTCTCGTTTTGGCCGCTTCCTCGAAATTCAGAAAGCTGAATTCCCGAAAGGCAATAAAACGCAGGCATTTTCTTCTAACATAAATGTATGCATTAGGTAAATACGTCAACCCATAAATTAATAAAAGTTTTTTTTAAATAGCTGGAATTTAATGAATAATTTGGTATCGAATAAAAGCGTTATTACTTCAAATATTTATTTAGGTACAGACGGGTAAATAAAATATTGTATATAGAATGATTAGTACCTAATTGTAACATGTTTATCGTATTATTTCCGTTATATATTTCTATTATTCTTATTTAGATTATATAAAGTATATAGTGATCAAGTGTATTTCCGGGGTACTGCATTATTCAACTTTTGCCCCAAATATTTTCAGATCTTCAGTATCGGAGTCGAATTCAATGTCGCATTTCTCACCGAATTGTTTGTAGGAAATCTTGAAAAGGCATTCCATATCGGCTTTTTCAGCGGATTTTTGAGCAGAATCACTAGTAAATATACCTCCGGTTACATTGAAACCGAGCTCCTTGGCTAGAGCTTTCCTGAAAGGTAAAGAAGAAATTAAATATAGTAAAATAGGATGGATGGCTCAGGGGTGCAGAAATCAACTTGTAATCTACAAGTCCTTGGTTGGAATCCTAACATATACAAATGGTATTTTCGGCTTTAGAATTTAGCATTTATCCTTGATTTGTATATAAAATTAAGAGCAAAATAAAAGAGTCTTAATTTATTATGTTCTTAGCCATTTGGTTGAAACAGTAATAATATTTGAATGCACCTAAATTACAGATCGGAATTTCATCTCGTTAATATAATGTTATGCAGATTGAACACGATATTAAATCAGTGCATAATAAAACATACTTATATTATGTATATTATAAACCGAATTAAAGTCGTACCAAATTCAGTAACAACGACATAGAAATAATGGGAAAATTCGGCGTCAACCGACATTTATTGTAACTCAAATGTTGCTAATAATTTGGAGTCAGGCGCATAGGGTGACCATAAATAAGTATGTATGGTATCTTTGTATAGGCTGGACGATTCTCCATGACACTAAGTCTACATCTCTCCATCATAGCCTGGACGAAAACATAGGCTACATAACCATTTATCTTTAATTCTGAGCGGACGGTGTCGTGGGCGCCAGTTAGTATTGTTAAAATGTTTGTTATACCTGGCTTTTAGTAATTCAACGGCGATACCCAGACCTCTATATTCCGGTGTAACTGAAAGACCAGCTCCCATAAGGTAAGCGTTTACGTCATACTTGTCGTATATGACAGTAAACTTTGTCGCTTCGGAGAACATTCGGAGTGACATAATGCCAGCTTTGGATTTCGGCTGCGAACAAAGTTTTATTTTAAAATGTCTTCATTTCATGTTTTATGTCGTAAAATACATACGAAGTTTCGTGTATTTGGGATTAAAAATAATGATAAATGAAATTAAATGTATAATTAATATGTAGTTTTTGGAATGAAGTACATTGTTATTTATTTATTAAATCAAAATTACATTTTCACGAGTACATTGTTTAAAGTAACGGATTTCGCTGAAATATAATTTCAGTGTAATCCCTGAACATCAGTTGAGTACAAATTTCATTGTTTTAATGCCTCATAATATAATTTACAATATTCTGGTTTATTTAGTATTCACTGTACAGTTACACCTTTTACTAAGATAATGAGAGCGTATTAATTTCTAACTTCTTACCGGAACGTGTTCAACGAAGCGATCTTTCTCCTGCGGCATACACATGTTCACCCCGACGAGAGTGCGCCCCGCTCCCTCTGGTGCCGTGAGAAAGCAAGCTAAACTCATTTTCTGCTCAATGATCGACGTCAGGAGCACCCGGTATTCTTGTATCGCCTCCGGGTCTTCCGCCGTGCCTGTCAATTATTCAACTTTTTAAATTAGTAAACTTCTTTTAATTAAGTGTTTGATTTTTAAAATTCGAACAAGATTCGAAAACAATAACGAATTGAAAATAAATAAAGAGCAAGGCAAAATTGAAATTGGAATTAAATGACTTAGCCTTTTTTTGATTTAACATAGCTACAGCGGATTAAAGAAAACAGATACATATATTTTGTTATAATACCTGCTTTGTAAACCGACAACAATATAGATACGAACATAAACAACCGAATTGTGAAATTACATAACATTTTTTCATCCTATTAATAAAATCCCTTCAAACACAGCCGGACGATTTCTCACGAAAAATACCAAGTCATTAGCCATATTTTGCGGAGCAACCGTAGCCCAATTATTTCGGAGGAAAAAAGAGCTTTTTATGATCTATCAGATACAAACCTAGTAAAGTAACTTGTTAAATGTGATCTATGTATTTTATCAGAAAATATATTTTGATTTTATTTAAAATGGTTTCTATTTTCTTATTTTTAATTACAACTATTATGTAATAAAAACCTTCTTTTTCAACAGGAGCTAGTTTCGAAAAAATAGAAGACTCCGGCCTACAAAATTATTTTCTAAGAAACCTTAGTTACATCTTATCCGCAACTAAGCTTTTATTTATTAGTAATGTTATAAAATGTACATTTTTACTCACCCGCTGTCTTCCACCAAACGTCCTCCTTAATATAACTTCCCAGCATAAACTCCACGGCAGAACTCCATGTGTCTTCTGGTACATCTTCTATTGAAAAATTCAATATACGCCCGTCGTCTGCCTGTCTTTCAAATTCGCTCCATACTTTAGGATATATTCGTGAACACATTGTTTGAAATCCTCCTGTTCTGTTTTAAAATAAATTGTATTGACTTGTGGTGTAGTGCGCGAACTGGTGCAGACTGGAGTATTCCTATTGTGGTTGCGTTTATCGTTAACAATAGTACAGTATATGATAGTTGCGAATATGAATATTGTTGATACACAGGATGTTTCTTTTGTACAAAATTAATTAGATTAGATTTCAGATAAATAATGCTAACTTCTTTATTACTGATTAGTTTACATATCGATTTACAGCTGAACTTAAGGTAGAGAAATGAATTAATAATGACTACTGTAACTAACTAGTGTAAGAAGATTGATTAAACGTAACTTACGAACATTATATTTGTAATAACCACGAAAGTTTATAATTATAAAAGAAATAAATCGTTTCTTAGACAAATTTGTAATACGTAATAGCGAATAGTTCAGTCGTCTTAAGTACCCGCACTGTAGAATGCTTTGTGGCGAGAGAAGCGCATCAAGGCGGTTTTCTCCTGAGAATCCTCATGCTAAATTGCTCTTTATAAAGATTGAGTCTGAGTACCATAAACAATGATCAAATCCTTGTGATTCGTTGAAATATTAAAAGATTTCTTCCGCTACAGTTTTAAACATAACTAGTTTGTTTGAAAAATGATTTTCTAGCTTGATAGTAAAACATACATAATATGTTATTTGTATGGTATTCTTGTCCTTTGTATATTAAGAAAGTCTTTTATTTAACTAGCTTTCACCCGCGGATTTTTACCCGTGGAAATAAATAAAAAAAAAAACAAAAAACAATAGTAAGTAGCCTATCTTAGTAGTTTCTCCAGACTATCCTTACATCTGTGCCAAATTTCATTGAGATGCATTCAACAGTAAGAAACTCTAACAAATATACATTCATCTAAAATTTTGCATTCATAATATTAGTAAAATTAACATTATCAATGATTTAAATATTATAAAAGTATATGTTGTTTATACTTATAAAGCGTAGATACTTCTCTACGCTGCGCATATAACTCGTGACTTGAGACGTTTACTTAGAATCGTCCTGTATATCATTAATCAATACGATGAAATATGAATCTTGTAAATGATCTTTGAAATGATATATTATTGCGGTTGTTATTAAAATGTAAGGATGGATACCATTAGATCTGACTTATATGTATGAAGATTTGTAAATAAACGTAATAGATTCAAAACACTTCCTACAGCGAGCAAAAAAAAACTCAAGCGACTTAAATTTAAACGTTCAAAGCACTTTTGCATAACGAAGAAAGCGGAGCTTCTGTTTTATTTTAAACGGGAATAATTTCTGTAACAATGGACAGAGTTATAAAGTAAATAGATCTACTGTTTGTTAAGTCGAATTGCATAATTTAATATTGCTTTGTGCTTACGTTTCCACTAAAAGTGCCTCCATAACTTTGTAGTTGTTTGTGACATGTAAATAGTCGTTTGTGTAACTAATGTACATGTTCAACCGCTTTTGTCAACGTTTTATATGATAGAAAAATAACGCTAAGAGACATTGTTTAATTAGACAACTGCCACATAATTTAAACTACAAACTGCTATTTTACTAAAAGTTAGTGTTAGATTCTCGTAAAAGTACAATTTGAAATCATTTTCGTAATTGACATATATAATAAAAAAACGTTATAAAAAGAGCAAACGCTTTAAGCCAATTTTAATAAACAAAAAACCACTGATCATTAAACATTAAAAGATCAGCAAAAAAACCCTTACCTCAAGTACAATTTTCCGAAACAATAATAGCCCTTGGCAAGGTAATTGGCATCCCTTAAACCTTTACTTCGATCTTTTCCGGAAAGGACGTGGCAACAGAAAGGTTGCTTGATTAATTGTTTTGGTCCCTAAAACAGACAACTATGGATATATATTGTAAGGTTCAATTCATTCATCGATCTTTTCATTGTCAGTTTCGTGATTTTTTCTTTAAATAACCTTAACGAATCGCGTGTTTTGTTATTTATCTATCCAGCAAAACTGTTTATAGCAACGTGAATAAGTTCGGTTCCGCAAGACATTTTCAACTACGCCAGTTAAACAACAATATGCTGATAATTAATGGTTAGCATACAAGCTTTTGTTTTTTTCTAACCATAGCTTTTCCTATGTATTAAGGTTCAGTACGCGAGTGTTGGAGTCGACGTGCGCGGCGTTGGCGGGGAGACGCGTGGCCGCGCTGCTGGTTTGCGGTGGAGGCGGCGCCGCGGCCGCCGTTGTCACTGCCGCCGCGCGCGCCGGCGTCCCCGTGCTCCGAACCTCGCCTTCACATCTGCATCTCTCTTATACCATCGCTAATGTGAGTCACAGTTTTATATTGCGATATAAAAATAGTGTGACTATCCACAGTGTCTTTGCACTAACTATGTTTGGATCATGTCATCAAACGTTTGCATCATGATCAATTGCTGTATTGAAATAATCGATTTATCCAAAAATTATAATTATAGATTTACCCTAATTGTAGTTTTTATTATGTAGAACTACAAACTTCTAGCTATAGATGAAAAACGCTCACTTGCAAGCCAGGAATTTGCTTTATAGTGCGTTTGAAATTAATTATGCTCATCCTTAGTGACTGAAAAACACGACTATATTACGTGATGCCACGTTAGACGTTGCAATATGCGTTTTTAGAATTGGTTGCATACTAAGTTTAAAAATATTTACAAATCTAAAAATATAATGTAACTGTAAAACTGTTTATTATTCTTATCACATATTACCAGTAGAACTATCAAATTCCCTAATGGTTATTAATAATATATTCTTTATTATCTATCAAACGATTGTTTTATAGTCCTCGGGGATTCGATATTACGTAAATGGTATGCCTATAACTTTAATAGCATACAGGATGTTGCAAGAACTGAATTTTATAAAAAAAATTTTTGCAATGGAACAAGAAAATTTTTTAATAGTATTTATTTTCGCTTGTGCTCGTAGGAAGAATTGTCGAGCCCTCAGAAAATTTACATCATCATCATCCACTTGCCCTTATCCCTTATGGAGGGTCGGCACAGTATGTGCTGCTCTTCCATACATCTCTATCAGCCGTCATATC